TGGACAAATAGGACTTAGAAAAATTCTTAAGCAAGTCTCCTAATCGTTCCAGTGCTCAATAAGAGATTAACTGTCTGATCGCCCACGAATGGATATCGTCCAGTACGCATCAGTATAAATTTTTTATGATCTCCTTAATGTGTGTGTATGTTTTTATTCACTCAATTAAATCACTCTCCATTTCAATTTACATTAGCAAAAGGAAAAGCAAACTTCAATTTTACAAAGTATCTCTTCTGATTTGATTTGAAGTCTTCGTAGTCTGGAGTTTTTTTCCTGAAATGTTAGTACATACAAGAGCAATACAAATTTGCTAAAATTTTTAGGAGATAACTACACATTTGAAAACAATAATTGTTGGAATCATCAAAACTACATAAGTTGCAAAAATGTAAAGCATGCAAATAGCAACTATCTTAACAATAAGCTCACACTTGCAATGAAAGTGGTCATATTATTTTGAAATGGGTGAACTCCTGGGAAGTTACCCCAATAGAACAAAATTGTAAAGCCCTTAGGCCAAAGCAGACAATATCTCGATAATTAAGAGTTTGTGCTATTACACTAGTATTCCTCTTCTCTTCTTCTGCGCTATCTGCTTTTACTTACATGTTCCTATGCATTCTAGGCAGTCCTACTAGTAAAGTTAGGTATCACCCGCAGATAAACTTTAATTCAACAATTAGTGTAGATAATTTTGATGCTAAATATGCAACAATAAAGTTTATTCTGTAGATTGATGACAATCGGATGACTTTGTGCATTTGTAGATAGTCTATTGATCGTATTCACATGAAATGATCGTGAGATATTCTTTTCCTGGTTACTTTGACATTACAAATGCAGCAGTGAGGCGACCCATTTTGTGAATAGATGACCATTGGGTGATTTCGTGCAATGTCGCACTTGTAAATCATCATTTTCACCATCATTCAATTGAGTTGAGCTTGAAGGGCACTTCTTTGATAAATTTGTCTTCCTTAACAAGTCAGAGCAAACAGTTTTACAGTCGGGATATTTCAAACTTGTTAAGCATGACGTCACATTAGTTGAATGCCTTTCTGATTGAGGCTTCGTTTGGGACGGCTTTTTTATTGCTTTCTAGATCGGAGTTTTAAAACAAAAATAAAAAAATTTGTACTAAAACTCCGTTTTAGAAAGCAATAAAAAAACCGTCCCAAACGAAGCCTGAATTTGCTTTAATTGATTATTACACATATATGAAGTTCAACACTCTCTTTATTATGATATGACTTGTATCGACTTCATTTATTATTGCAAGGTTGTGAAAATTGGACCAGACATTGAATCGAAAGAAGGAGATGTTCAATATTAAATGGTTTGACTAGACTGAACCAGGGTTAAATGATTAGGATAAAGGGTATTGAAAATTATTTAAATTCTTATTTAAATGAAATAATAATAATATATTCATATAATAATATAAATTTAGATGATTAAAAGAATCATACATAAACAATAGTTCTATAATTTTAAATTTAAAGCAACATTTTAATTTATAAATTAATTCACATTTATGACAAGATTAATTCAACATGTGTTTTAAATTTAATATAATTTATTATTAATTTTTTATTACATTTTTAAATATATTTTACATCTATAGGTTATATACCAAATTTATTTTATAAATTTACATCTAAAAATTATTTATGTTAAATAATTTATCATTAAAAAATATATAAAAAAATTATAGTGTATAAATAAATAAATAAATTATTATTAACTAAAAAACAAATATTTTTCACATTATAAAAAATTATTTAAAAAATATATTTAAAAATATTAATATTTATGTTGTAAGATTCATAAACCTTAACTCATCTATTTAGTCCAACATCACTTGAAAATTCTTTCTTGCTATTATTTATATAGCTTTTTTACACTTTTATATGTTAATAACTCACATGAAGTTGTGGCTAGCTATGTGAAATAGCTTACATAGTGGCTGTGTGGCAAATAAATTAGTTACAAGAATTTCATACAAACTAAAAATTAATATTTTAAATAGTAAATTAATTTTTAATTTCAAATATTGATTAAGTATTTAAGCTGAATGTGAATACTTTTTATTTATTTGATTTTTTTAAAATGGATGGCGGAATTGAAACAGCCGTTCAAGGAACCGGAGCTGTTTCACACATTGATGCAGAATGGTTTTCAGAGTATGCTAGTGTGTACCGGTTTTAGCGGTTGGACTGAATCGGACCCGAACTAGTTATCGTATTTTAAACCTTGATATGTATCGAACATCCATCCTTCAATGAATTTAATAATTTCTCGAAATATTAAAGAGTCATTCGAAGTCAATGTTACAAATTTCTGCCAACAATATTTAGATAATATCAATGCCTTTATCCTAATAAGTTTGTATTCTAAGCGCTTCTCCAACCAAACATCAAAGCTTCTAACGGCGTCCGCTCGATTGATCCAATGGAATACGAAAAAAATTCACTAACTGGTTGCGGGAGAACAATGCGATGCTAATATTGGTTATTAATTTTAATTTTTTAAGTGTAAAATTTTATTATTAATAATTTAGAAACCCATTATTTTTTAGAAATTAAAATATTTTTTACGTAATTAATTTATTTAAGATACAACATTGGTATAGAAATTAAGATAAAGTTCTCATGCACATTTAAGGGATATCGAGTTTGATTAAATTCAAAAAATTATAATTGATTAAAAAATTATAATATATTTAATTTAAAATTTGATAAATATAAATATATGATTAAAAAATTAATAAAGTATGAGAAAAAATATACTAAGAATATTTTTTTATGCTAGAGAATGGAGTTCGATTGGAGACAAATTACTACATTTTAATGTAATACTGCATTTTGGAGTGGAAAATGAGTTTTTCGGTTGGAGATGGCCTAATATGTTCCCCCCAAGAATTTTGCTGAGAGTAAGCTGTAACATCCTACATGAATATGCCAACAATTCATTTGGCAATAACTAAGATATCTTCTGACGTTTGAATAAAAAGGAAAAAAAATCAAGCATTATAACATATAACATACCATTTGATCTACAACTCATTAGTATATCATCATTGTTGGATCCAAGGGTATATGTCCCTCCTAATTTTAACATTTTACTCTTATATTATCTTATAATCACATAAATTTCACCCTCCGCTAAATTTTGGATAAACTCTTTCATTTTTTCTCATTTGAAACTCTAACTCAATTAGAGAGAGAGAGAGAGAGAGAGAGAGAGAGAGAGAGATGCTAATTTATTTCTCCAATGGTGTTACTAATTTTAGGAGATTTTGGAGGAATAACTAGCTAAATTTTATCACATATTTTGACCTGGTATTTTCATATTAATATCAACTCATTCCACTAACAAACTAACATCTAAACTATTTTCTAAGGTGTTTTAACATCTTCAACTCATCCTAAATAGTTAGCATAAAATTAATGATGGTGGTGATTATGATGATTAACCTAATTAATTGGCTCATTTATATGCTAATTATTCTATTAACACAAAAATATCCTAAAATTATCTGTTTAATTACTCCTACTATTATTTTGACATTGTTTAATTATGTGTAAAAGAAAATCGAAAGCTTACTCTAATCCCTATCATCTTGAACTCATTACTGTCATTCAGTGAAGTAACAAAAAATATTTAAAACTTGCTTCGACTTTCTATTAAACCAAAAGTTGAACTCAATTACAAAACTCGGATCTAACCACCATAAAAATTTTAAATTCAAAATAATAAATACAAACATGAAAAAAAATTCAATATAAGTATAAAGTATGTATATTAAAGTCCAGACATTATGAATCTTCTAATTTACATTTCTAATAAGAAAGAATTAAACATTTTATTAAACAGTGTAACAATAGCCAGGAAAACATCATAGGACGAACGTTCGAAATCAAATTTACATTGTGATGATGATGTACAGAAAATAAAAAAATAAAAAAACAGCTCGAGAAATTCTTATCAAATTTTTTTATCAGAATACATAGGAAAGTTATTGAATTTACTTTGAGATGAGTGCAATAAGAATATCATGCCACAACTTTTTTCCGCAGAAAATGATCTGAACTTCATGTCATGTTCAATGAGAATGAAGATCAAAAGGAAAAAAATTAGCTCATATATTTTGATCAAATTTTTTATCTGAATATATCTTTTAAGTCGTTGAATTTGCTTTGAAATAAACTTAATATAAACTCTAATTGATTCTTCATATATTACACTCGTTTCAAAGCAAATCCAACGGATTTAAGACCAATCAGAACTAAAATTTGATCAGAATATCTACAACCAATTTATTTTTCCAATCATGTCAAGAAATTCAGAAATGATATTCTTCATGAACATCAAGGAGAGAAGATGATGATGAGCCAGTAAATTTGCTGGGAGCTGGTGTAGTTTTTCGGGATGTTCGCTTGGTAGGAACCAGTACATTTTCATAGTCTTCTTCATTAAAAACAGAGGATTCATAGTCTTCAACCTCCTTGAATACTGGATGGACATAAGCATTTAGAAGATAGCCTTTCAAGTCCAGGTTAGGCTCCCTTGTGCGTTCCAGTGTATCTTTCATCTTTGCTTCCTGTTATTGAAAGCAGAAAAAATAGAGCATGAATACTAGAAAAGGATTTATCATTTTGAGGGGTCTTTGTATAAAAATCCTTATAGTTTGATTGTTTTGTTAAAACTTTGCAAACAAGAACAATAAATAAATATGTTTTCAAAAAAGGACAAGTAATCCGAATTTATATTCCAAAGAACCTTAAAAGCCTGAAAAGTACTATTAGGGGACATTTGGTTACAAGGTTTGTTAAAAATTTACCAAAAATAGTTCTGAGCCAAATAAATTTTACAGCTTTTTAAAATTTGTTTTCCAGCCTTTTTAGGATAAATCCCAGATTTAGTAATCTTGGAGAAATAGATTTTAAGAGATTTATATCAATTATCCTCACCATGATTCTACTTCTAAGGCTTCGTTTGGGACGGCTTTTTTCTTGCTTCTTATAGCAGCTTTTTAGTTTAAAATTAAATTTTTTATACTAAAAAGTTGCTTTAAGAAGCAGTGAGAAAGCCGTCCCAAACAAAGCTTAAGGGTTCGTTTGGGACGGCTTTTTTATTGCTTTCTAAAACGGAGTACAATTTTTTTTATTTTTGTACTAAAACTCCGTTTTAGAAAGCAATAAAAAAGCCGTCCCAAACGAAGCCTAAATCTTAAAATTTTTTGCAATAAGATTTACTAAGATTTATAATTTATTTGGGATAATTGCATTTTTTTTAGAAAGATGATTGCAAAACTATAGTGAGAAAAATAACTTTTTTGAAAGTTGTTGTAAAAAGCGGCTTTTTAATACATACATTTTTTAAATAAGTGAGAAAATAGTAGCCTAATAAAATTGTGGTTGGAGCATAAAAAGTGAAGCAGAAAGAAAACTATCACAAATAGACTCTTAATTAAATGCAGTATTTATCATGCCAAGGAGTTATTAAATTTTGATTTAGATCCCATAATAAATCTTGGAAGAAGATAGGATTTAAGAAATTTATATAATTTCTACTCACTATGCATTTTGTCATTTTCTTTTCCTTCATTTAAACTGTAAATCTCGAAAATATTTATAAAAATAACTATTGTAAAGTTTTAATAACTACTGTCATTTTCCAACAAGGAGAAACTACAAAGAGTTCTATACAATCACCATTGTAATAATTATAAGTAGCATTTACTATGCTTCTAGAAACGACGGTTCCATTTTGGATTAGATATTTTTCCATGAAAAAAATTAAAGCTATAGGTATTAATCAAGTACCTGTTTTATTATAGGATGATGATGCGTGTATCAAGGTATTATTTCAATGATGAAGCATTAGCTTTCATGCCAAAGTTGCAGTTAATCAAAATTCTATCTATCTATAGAATATTTGGGAAGACATTGAAGTATTTGTCATCCTAAATATAAACTTCTGCAGATGATTCAACCTGAAAGTTTCATACCAGTTTTTTATTCACCTGAATCTTCTCTCAGGTTGCTCGTTAGGCTATCAATCTTTAATCATGATGGATTTCAATAATTGAAACGTAGCATGGGACATATTCATTCTCATGTGACTTGAAAACGTATGACATTTGACATGGAATACATTCTCACGCGACGTGAATATGCATGACTTATGGCATGAAATACTTCAACCAGAGCAGTTTATTTCTCAATATTTTGTTATTAATTTAACAGAAAATTTCTTCAAGAAAATGTAATTTTTTTCTATAAAATTATTATGTGTTGGAGGCATTTCTGTTTCATCATCAATAAAAATTGTTCTAGCAAATGTTTTTATTATTATTGTATTATCTCTGTTGTGATACTGGATTGTTTGCCAAAGCAAGTGCTGAGAAATTGTCGCAATGAATTGGCGTAGGTCATGGGAGCGGAATATGAAATTCTGAGAGTAATCGTCAGAGCCAAAGGACGTCACTTGCGACAATAGCTAATGCTCGATATTCTGCCTTCGTTCAGGACCGAGCAAACAGTGGGTTACATCTTGACCGACCAAGAGAGAAGATTATCAACAAGGAATGCACAAAACCCAGAGATTGAGTGACGGTCAGTAGGATTAGCCGCTCAATCCGCATCGGCGTAGGCATGAAGATGTAAGGGAGCGGCAGTGATAGGGAGAGCATATGCAATAGTTCCACTAAGGTATCGTAGTACCTGTTTTAGATGTTGAAAATGAATTTGATACGGCTTGTGCATATGTTGGCATAGGTAGTTCACTGTGAATGCTATGTCCAATTGAGAGATTGTAATGTACTGAAGTGAGCCTACGAGTTGTTTGTAAAGATGTGCTTGCGGAAACATAGGTGAATCGGCATTTGGAGCCTACAACTTGTATGGCAAAGGGCTTAGAGTAGAGTTGAAGTGAAGCATGCCCGATTTGTTGAGGAGTTCCGCTCCATGCGTGTTTCTAGAAATTTGGATGCCAATAAAATAAGAAACTATACCAAGGTTTCGCATGCGGAAGGATGAGTCAAGTTTTGAAGTAGACGATCAATTTTCGATTAATCATTGCCGATGAGAAGCACATCGTAGACGTAAACCAGGAGGAATAGGGAAATAGATCCTTTATGAAAAGGGAGTAATGACGGGTCAGTTTTGCTCTGGGTAAAGTCGTAGACTAGTAAATAAGATGAAAAGGTGGAGAACCATTGGCGAGGACTCCATAGATTGCTTTGTAGAGACGACATACATGATTTGGGTATTGTGAATCTTAAAAACCGGGGGGCTGCTTCATGAAGACCTGCTCATCAAGGGTGTCATGTAAGAAGGCATTGGATGCATCTAAATGATAGATAGGACAATGCAAGGTAGTGGCAACAACGAGGAGTCAAATAGTAGGGAATTTGGCAACTAGGCTAAATGTATAAGTATAGTCTACCTCAAATTCTTGTTTAAATTCTTAGGCAACAAGTATGGCTTTGTGACGTGATAGAGTTATGTCTGCATTTAATTTTGTTTTATACAACCATTTGCATCCAAGGAGATTCTAATTGGATGCCCTGGCACAAGGGATCATGTACCTTGTTGTAGTAAGGCTTGAAATTCTACTGACATGGCAGCATGCCAAGCTGGATGTTTATTTTCTTCTGTGAAGGAAGTGAGGGATAATGGCACAAGAACATTGTGTAAATCTAAGACTGGCTTGGGTTTAAGGTGGCCAGTTTGTTTGCATGTAACCATGGGGTGGCGGATGATTGGTTGTAAAGCATCTGGAGGAGGTGTTAGAGAATTTGTGTTGAAGGAGATGGAGTAGGGGTACTGGAGACGTAGAAGAAGCAAAAATAGAAGAAGTGGCACATTGTGTACATAGTTTGGTTAGGGCAGAGGCACGACTAGTAAGAGGAGGAGTTGGCACAAGTGCAAGTGGAGGATGTTGACCTCCGCAGATAAACCCAAAAGGAACGAAAAAATAATACATGTAAACCGTTGGATCTGCGAATCCGACTGAAATCGGCGCCGTTCGCATCACTTCTCCGCAAATCCGGCGCAAATCCTGCCATGATTCCTCGATTTCGCTCCTCTCAGCGTCCATAAATAGAGGCCGAAGGGGCTTCGACTCCCCGCTCTTCTACTGCTCTCGACTCCATCCCACGACACTCTCTTCTCCTCTTCCCACATCCGAACTCTACCCAAGCCGACGACTCTCGTCCTCCTCCGACCGAACTCCACCGCTTGGTCCTCAATCCTTCGGCACAGAGAGACAGAGACCAAGAGAAATAGAGAGAGAGAGATTGAGAGAGGAGCTTTGTTCCTAACCTCTTCCTCCTCCAAGCCCTGTGCCGACTTCTGCACCCTCAGCCCCATCGAGCTCCTCTGTCTCTGGCCAACTGATCCTCTACTGCCTGCTCCACGCCTCAAGTCCCGATTCCCTCCTTACCTGTAGCCGCTTTCTGCCCGATCCCCTCCTACCGGCAAATTATTGCGTCAGGTGACCGAACGCAGAGATGCGTTCGGTCTCTCTGTCTACGGTAACCTGCGCTTTACTGTAGCAGTGCTACAGTGCGCAGGTTCTGTAGACAAGAGAGAGACCGAACGCATCTCTGTCAGGTGACCTGATGCAATAATTTGCCCTTCCTCCCGACATTCATAGCATATTAAGGTTTAGTTATTTATTTTTTATCTTATTTAATTAGATATTAGTTATATATATAGATAATAATAAAAGTACCTAAAGTATAAGTATATTTTATATTTAATTATGTTACTTTTAATTAACTGTAATTAATTTTAATTAATTAAATTAATTATAATTTAGTTATTTTTAATCATAATCAATTAAAAATAATTTCTAATTAATTATGATTAAGATTAATCATAAATAATTATTTTATTTTCAATTAATTATTATTAATTATTATTATTAATTAATTTTATAATTAATTAAGTTAATTATTATTAATTATGATTAATTAAAAATAATTTTATTAAAATAAATAAAACGCTTTTCTCCCTCGATTTTTGAGCCAACACTGTCGACCCCGCGTAGGTATAACTTCTAAACCCCAAAACTCCGAGACCCATTTCAACGCATGCGTCAAGACAAAACGACCACATATACACGCTTATCTTAGCGTGGTGGGAGGACGTGCGTCCCGACGCTTGCGACGAAGCAGACAATCACCTAAAATTCCTTCTTTGAAGTTTGTATCTCCTTGGAAACCCCACTTATACACGCTTTTCTTAGCGTGGTGGGAAGGGAGCCCGGTGCGATGTGTACGGCGAAGTGGGGATACCCATAAGTACCCGCTTGTAGGAAAATAACTGCTTGCAAAATATTTTCAAAATACCCATACACGCTTTTCTTAGCGTGGTGGGGGATCAAAAAAAATACACGGCCGCGGTGTCCTCGAAAGAGGGCACCTACCATACACGCTTTTCTTAGTGTGGTGGGAAAGGCCCAGTTTTTCGTAGTTTTTCCCTAAACTGGGGAGACGCCGGAAGGCTGCCGAAATTTCGGGTGAACTCAATGCTACACTTGGACTTGATTGAACTCAAAGGACGATCGAACTTGGACTTATCCTATGAACCTTTGAACTCAAAAGAACAATAATGGACTTGGACTTGTGAACTTTAATGCAATAAAGCTCAAGTCTAAAACAAATCCAAGCTTAAATCAAATCACAAGGACTTCAATGAAAACTTGGAATAAAGATACAAGTTGACCATTTGGATCTAAACTCAGAAGTTGAATCAAGTTGATAACAGTTGGACTTGAACTCAAATGATGAAGAATTTGATTTGAACATTAAGCCGACAAGACTTGGACTTGTAAATGAATCACAACAAAGACTTGGATTTAGAATATGATCTTGAACTCAAAAGACAACAAAGGAGTTGACTTGAACAATTTGAGCAAGAACTTGAGTTTGAACATACACTGGACTTGAATTGAGTTTGAACTTATACAAGAGGATTTGACATGAAATGAATAAGCATAATGACTTATCACCAATCATAACAATGAATACAATATATCTACAAGCAAAGTGAAGGAGTTGCAAGGAAGATAATTTGCCTACTATCAACAATAGCTAAATGTGCAGATGTTTTGCATATGCATGCAACAATTCTTAAGAATGCTGAAAAGATATGCAAACAAGGAACCCAATGTCATTTGTAAGCAAATCATACGAAAATGACAATGATTGGAAAGTATATGCAGTTTGACTGTGAGCACATGGTGACGAGCAAACTTATCATGCAAGCCATGAGTGACTTCCAAGGGTAGTAAGATACTAACAAACTCTACTTGCTTACAAGTAGTGATGGATTGTGGACGACGTAACATCCTCCCCACAATCGATGTTAGTTGTCTTGCAAATGTATACAACTGTCCTTTT